TGACATATCTTTCCGTTTTTAATCTCTCATTGAAAATTCGCAGCACTTTTAAAAATAACCAAAGATGACAATATCAGTAGAATGAGATGATTAGATTTATTAGTGTTAGTGTAATGTAATAGTTAATGAAAACTTTTCACAAATCGGATAAAAATAGGAGAACGATGCCAATCCATGAGCATGTCTTTCTTCTGAATTAATGAAACGCTGGTGTTCTTTTGAGCATTGATAATATTATTTGTATGATGTTCACATCTCATTTCAATGGTTTTTTGTGTTTATTACATCTAGTGGAAAAATTCAAGCAGACATGATTCTATATCTATTACATTGGATTTAAACACATGAATGTCTATGTCCTTAAAAATGAGTGCAAATTGCCGATTAATCGCAATATATCTTGACGATAATCGTCCGGTGAAGCACAATAAATCGTCGATTTTTCTCGATTATCTTGACGATATTTGGCATAAATCGTGGTTTTCTAGTTGATTTTTTCTCTATTGTTCGATATTCGGAGCGATTCATGGGTATGTATTTAGTTTTCTCTTATCACATCGAAAAGTTTTTATAAAATAAAATGAACGTTTAGATTATTTTCCATTTATAAATAATGTTATAAAAACAAAAATAAAAATGCGGTTTGGAATTTCACGCAGTTACACGAGAGGATATTAGAAAAAAAATGAAAAACTCATATTCATAATAAATGAAAGAATAACAGCGGCTTTGTATACCATTGTTGAATTTTACAATGAAACACAATTATTCGACGTTTCGATGATCTATGTCATCGTTTTCAAGATTTACTAAGATTCAGGAATTTGTAATTACATTAACAAAGAAAAAAGGAACAAAAAAGGAAAGACAAGGGAAAAAATGAAAACAATAAGAACGACTTTGAGCTTCATTGTTGATCAGGATTAGGCAACAGAACTCTCGGTAGACCATCAGGAAAAAGCAATTAATGGTATCGAATGAGTTGTTTTATTGAGTTCTGGTTCATAAGCCTTGATCAATAATGACTCTTTGATTAACAAACGATAAGAATACTTTTCTTGCCAAACAACGCAAAAATTACTCCAATTCATATGATGACCTGTTACTTTTTCACGCTGTGGGATGGATGACTTAGCATTATTTTTATCGTTTTCGTCGTCGTCTGCTGTTGTTTTAAAAGTTGTTGTTACTGTTGTAGATGTTGTTGTTGTTTTATGTTTAACCCATGATGATCTTCTTAATTCTGTAATATTATTGCTGTTGTTGTTATTATTATTAAGATCATCACGTTCATGGTTGCACGGTTGTTGTTGAGGAAGAGTTGTTTCTGGTACAAGATGTTCATATAATCTTCGTATAAATTGACGTTCCGTCTTGCCAATACATATATGCCCATAATAATAACATTTAATTGAATATACCACATCAGATTGCATTTGTTTAACAATTGGGGTGGGTGTGGGTGTGAGTATTGATCTAGTACAGAACTACACGCACATCCTCATTCATACCTAACTCCACGCTCTCACAAATATCTACATTTGCACCCACACCCACACCCACACCCGCACCCACACAGCCACACCCACACCCAGTTTTACTGTATATTGAAGCGAATTAATTAATTAATAGTTAATTAATAATTAATAATAATTAGCAATTAATTAATAAAATTTTGATTTGTTTTTAAATTCCAACTCCTTCATATGAAAGAGCATAAAAAACTGAACAAAACTCTATAATTACCATTTGGAAAACAAGAAATTTAGTGAGGTTTTAGTGTGTTTTTCAGAGTATGTTCAGTTGTAATTAGATATAGCATTCATTATTTTTAATAACTTCAGTCATGAAATGACACATGAAATACGCAAAAACTGGCGCATTTTAAAGAGCATCATTTGCTCTTTCAAATGACATCTCACTGCTGCCTCTGCAATATTCTATACAAGGGAAACGGACACTTGCTCGCTGGGACAGTTGCTCGCGAAGCATAAATTAGAAAGAATATGCAATTAAAAAGAATACACATGATTGATGATGCTATGGAAGATTAAACAGAGAATAACATAGCAAAATTTGAGCAATAATACAACAGAAATCTAACAAGAAATATCACACAACTTTTAATAGTACATAAGAGGACAAAAATACAGATTTTATAGAGACAACAAACGTCCAATGCATGTTAATTGATCATAAATATTTGAATGTGGATTTTCAACCAGTTGTCGAAGTCGTCTATTGGATGATTCATATTTTCCTACTGGTGGTTGTCGACCTGTCATCACTCCAAGAATGTCTGAATGTATGTTGTTTTCTTCTTTGATTAATTTGTCTAAAAACGTCCATAAAGTTGGATGACTACATTGAAAAGCACAATTTAATTTTCGATGCCACCCTTCGACGTTGTTATTCGTTCTATGTAAATCATTTTTTACACGTGTTACCATATTCCAAAAATCAATTGGGTACGATGGTTGTCTTCTTGTATGTCCACGCAATTGTCCTATATAATTATCTTCTATACAATCTAGTATTTGTTAATAATTATCATCAAGATTAGAACATAATAATTCAAAACCATCAATAACCATAGCTGGTTCAATAAATGCTAATGCTAATATTTTATGTATGTTATCGGCAAACATCACATCTGTCTCATACATTTGCTTCAAACCGTGTGTCTAAATATGCAATATCAGCAAAATGAAGTCATAAAAACTTTTCTAGGAATAGTTTACCTGCAGAAAGCGTAGAATATATTGACAAAAGTGAAAGTAACAACTGCTTAGTTCAACTGCTGGAAACGTATGATTAAACGCGTTTATTGTAGCTTTTTCAAAGTCCATCATTACTCGCTGTGGCTACCAAGCTGGAACCAATTGAATAGTTTCATCAATCATTTTTTGATAAATTTGTTCCTTTTTTGATGGTAAAAGAATAAATGCTACTGATAATACATGATTACGATAGTTGGCGTGTATAGCAAATAATTGAAAAAAGATTTCCGGTACCACCTTAAACGTTCCGTCGATAAAAAATTCCTATAATAAATAAGATTAATTGATCAAAAATAATACTTTGAAAACTTACTGTGGTATTTTCCATGATTTTTTTTTGTTCATCGGTAAAAAAAATTAATAACCGGTTTGAATCTGGACCAGTATCTTTCTGAAAAAAGGTGTTGTTACGAGTTGTTTGATGGTATTTTTGTGGAATAACAGGAAAATCAATGTTTGTTGGTGTTGGTTCAGTAGTGTTTTCTTGTCGCCAACGACGAATATTTCGTTTTAAATTATGATTACTTGGTAATTGAATACGCACCTCATCTGGTACGCCGATATTTGTTTGTGTTAAAATATTATGTGGATTTGTTTGATTTTGTTCTGGTTCTTGTTTTAATTGTTCATAATATTTACGGGTTGCTTCACATCGTGGATTACCAGTATGATTTTCATGTTCACCAACTGTTTTAATAAATTCATAGTTTAATTTTGTATGTAATCGCCCATGACAGGCATATTTTCTACAGTATTCACATTTCCAAAGAATTTTTGTCTCACTTTTTCGATCAATTGTATATGAATAGCCATTGTATATTAATAACGGGGCGTTTTTAGATGTTTTTGATAGGGTAATTAACATTATGACTGTTTGTGATGTCATTCTGTTAGTTTCGCGACTTATATATGCACATATTTCATTGAATACAACTTATCATTATATTAGAATCATCAATTTGAGAAACATTGCAACAATTTAATCAATTAATTTATGATCATGATCATTCTCACATAAGAAATTAATTTAATTCGTCATTGTATTTCGTTATTTTATTCAAAATTCTTGTAAAAATATACACAACGAGCAACTTTCCGGGTGAGCAATTGTCCTAACGACTAAGTGTACGAGCGACCAAATGTCCGCGCGTAACTGTCCGCGCGACCAACCGTCCTAAACCCTCTATACAAATGTTATAACGTCTTTCGAAATATACAATGCAAAATAACAAAAAATTTGCTAGAAAGTATAGCTTGAATTAGTTTTTACAACTAAAGACGTTATAACATTTGTATAGAATATTGCACAGGCAGCAGTGAGATGTCATTTGAAAGAGCAAATGATGCTCTTTAAAACGCGTCAGTTTTCACGTATATTATGTGTCATTTGATGACTCAAGTTATTAAAAATAATGAATACTATATCTAATTACAACTGAACATACTCTGAAAATCACACTAAAACCTCACTAAATTTCTTGTTTTCCAAATGGTAATTATAGAGTTTTGTTCAGTTTTTATGCTCTTTCAAATGAAGGAGTTGGAATTTAAAAACAAATCAAAATTTTATTAATTAATTGCTAATTATTATTAATTATTAACTAACTATTAATTAATTACTTAACTTCAATATAAGTATAAGTGCTTGTTACCAAAATGTAGCCCATTAAATTCTGCATTGAATGGTATAGAAAACATTTTTCAGATGTTGTGAAATACCGTAAGAATTAGTCAAATACTAAAAGTGTGCTAAACTTTTTCCCTACTTTATGTTACAGTGTTTAGTATTTTGACTATAACATTGTCATTACTCAATGAAAATCAAAAGGTTGTTTTACCAAAATGATCAGCGAAAAAAGCTTTGCAAAATTAGATATAAGAGAAAATTTTTAGAACATCCTTATTATTCGTTTATGTGTAAAAATAAAAAAGTGCATGCTTTTTTGGGTCCTCACTGTAGGTGATATTATTTTTGATATCGAAATCGTTTTTATAAAGAAATAAATCTCGACAACAAGATAGAATAAGTTAAAATTCAATTATGCTGTCTAAATCAAAGCAGTGTTGTCAACATGTGTTATGAGTATCTTTTTCAGTTATCGTTTACATCAGCATGGTATTTCTTAGGTAAGAAATTATATGATCATGTTGCATATCAAAGCAAATCATAGAGTTAATTCAACTCGTAATCGTTATCAAGACTTGTTGATTTTTCAGTTTATATACATGCATAAATTCTAACCGATAAATTAACTGATTAAAGTGTACGTGTATTTCTATGAAATGTTGAACTAGCCGAAACTCTTCAATAAACTATCAATTGAAGTTTTCCTTAAATTTCCATGTAATATACCAAAAAATTAATGGACGAGATTGATCTCTAATAAATTCGATTTATTTAACAGAAATGATTTCTTTGTATTTGCTTTATTTTATAATTCGAGTTACAGTTTACTTGCTGATACACTATATCACTAAATGCTGTCAGTAATCGAGAACATGAAAGTAGAAAGACGATTATAACTATTATTCATTATAATCTAGCAACAAAGCAATAAAAAACAGGTTTAGGTTTTACAAATAACTTACTTTCAGCACAATCAACAAGGAATTGCCAACTTTAATTAGTATCAATCATGAGAAATGTCACTAAGAGTAGTTATATTAAAAATATGCAGTAAAGCAATGATTTATTGCTGACGATGAGCAATTCTTAAACAAATTTATATATGTGGGACATATATTGATTCACGGACACAAATCGT